AAGGAACTGTATAAATGAAGGTAGTCCAGAGAGAAGTATGGAATTATGTGTAATTATAAAATAGAATTCTGAAAAGAGTATTCCGATACAAATGGCTATCTCCCTTCTTTTTCGAAGTTATTCGACCCCTTTCTTGTGTTTAGAATTTATAGGGTATTAAGCAGGCTTCGTTTTTCGCGATTTGTATAGTCCACCCAAAAGAACATGTTCGTTTCAGGAACAGGTCGTCGCAAGCATAAAAATTCTAGCACTTTGTGAACATGTAGACGGCCCTATTAGATTAGGTAATGACAGGTAACCCTGGAAATAAGATCACTTTCTGGTCATATATGTCCATGTCTAGATATCAGTGAAGAGTAGTAATCACGGCACAGCCGTCTTTAAAGTGATCACAAACATGATATTATAGAAAGACAAGGATCTTCCCTAACTTAATTATGTATGGTGTACTACATGGCTAAAAGAGAATGTCGTAAACATCGATGAAGTTCTACAGAGAGTATAACGTCTAGAGAGGAAAACCAGTGAAATAACGTGAAGTATATCTCTGGTAATCTATCGGAAGAACATCTGTGATGAACAAAGTATACAATGGCAGCCAATAACCAGCTGCTAGAAAAACATTAACGTTTTCAGATTATCTAGGGATTATAATGTATATCAAGATAACGACGTGCCTGAGCAGATAACGACCAGACTAAAGTGTGGCGCAGTATATCTGTGTACAAAAAGAGAGTCTGGAGTAAGTCGAAAGTTTCTTTTTAAAATTCTGATAATGTCATCTACCTAAAACAAATAAACAGAAGCATTACAAAGTATGAAACGACAAGAGGTATTTCCAGACCAATTGAGGAGCTAAAACACAAGCCAACTCAAAATATTTCTGTGATTTTGTTATCAAACAGAGGCTAACAAACAAACAAACCTACATACTTCAATGGCTTTACGATGACGAACTTATCAATCTACCAGCGGCAGAAGTCTTTGCTTCTAATTCGGCCATCCAAACAAATCGGAGACTTACAAGCATGAGACGCTCTCCCACTCTGCCGCCAGATAGCGGTCTAGGAAATGCCCAGCCATCTCTCGGGTCGATGTCGAGAAAACCAAGATTTTTGAGCTCAGAGAAATCACCAGTACGTGACAACTACCCATCCCTATAGTCTCGCCTGTCATTACACCGATATTTGACCCAACCAGAAGTTCAACAACTTCCGACATAATGGACACCGATCTTTATCACCTCACTCTTCCTCAAAGGAAAAGAAAGGAAGGACCCAACCTGTAATAGACCGGTCGCATTATGGTAGTTGTGGGTAATATGCGGACAGAGTCAATAAAATTCATGCAGTTCAATACGGACCCGGAAAAAGCAGTCCATGAGTGTCTAGTACTTGCCTAAAAGAGACATCTGGACAACTTACCACGATAACAGATACCGTTCCATATAATATTCCTAAACCTCGGAAAAGCTCTCTACACATTACTGCAATCACTTTTTATACTAAAAGTTACTAAGACAAGCTTCACTCACCTACCTCGGTTGTTTTTTCTGGAAAACCGAGTGTTCTGCAGCGAGACAAATAGAGTGAGTTGGAGATGAAATGTATTGAAACAAATATTTTCAAAGGAAACCATTTTGAAACCACTCCTCTTCCTAATTTCCACTCAACTTTCTAAGTAAAAACAGTTCAGTTGCCCTTATCTACGCTGAATACGTGAGGGTAAAGAGACACTTGGAATTAGATGAGGATTAAATAAAGTTCTGAAAGGTCTTCATAACAAAAAGGAAATGGGTTGTGCCCAGTGTGTAAAATGGCCCGTGAAAATGTCACATCAAAAAATTTAGACTCATGTGAAACAAAAGACTTACGTTTGTAGTATAGATCTCTTCCTATTTATCTTCACAAATCGTGGCCAAGACCATAAGCTACAAGGCGCTTGAAGATCAGTGCGAGATAAACATATTGCACTGGATATTGGAAAAGTGCAAAGAATAGTTTGTCATATGGCAAACGAAAATACGAAAACGAAACAGACCGATTCATAGTAAATAAATAACCAAAGCTATTTCGCCAATAAAACCAGCTGGGAAGAGACTGCTTCACACGTTCTCATTGCTGCTCCAGACTCTTTAATTATGCTTATACCGAAATTAACTGGAAGAAACTAATCACTACTCTGCAGGTATTCTGTTCGTTTCAGTTCGGAAAGGACAGGAGGCTTAACGACCTGTGTTAGTCCTGACAATGGAGATCTCTCAGTTGATCTAAACTTTTTTGAAGGAGTCAAGGGATGGATCCTCGACTACGTGCTGAGGTAGCTCAGTGTTACTCATCATGTATGTATCTGTACCTTGGTGACCAATATGTATCACAATACACTTGGATGTATTTATCGGCAACTGCCAAGTTTGAGACCATTCATATGATTTCTCCAGGTCACTTTGGAGTTCTAAGCTATCACCATCACCTCTTATCGCTCTCCATATCTTGACATCGCCAGCATATAGTAAGACAAGGAAGGTCATGTACATATAAGAGGAATAAAACTGTGGCCTGAGGCGTTCTGCCAAACACAGTTTCCCAGATAGACAACTTGGATTTCATCCGTACTCTTTGTTGTCGCTTAATTGGAAGTCTTTTATCCACACTAGTAAATTGTATCCAACCCCGACATTTCCCAACTTATGTAACAGCTGGTTGTGAGGAACTATGTTAAACGTTTTGCTGAAGTCAATGTAGCCTACTTCTATAGGTAACTTTTGGTCTTTAAGAACGCATCAGCTTTCACGATCCATTAATAAGTTAGTGAGACAGAAATAACCTATTCTAAAGCCATGCTGCATTTTCCAAAAGTATCAGGTTTTAACCGAGATACTTGAGCAGCTCCTTCTGAATAATCTTTCCTAAAATTTTAACAACCTCACTAGTTAGGCCAACGGGTCGTTAATTTTCAGGTTTGTGTTTCGTACCTGTTTTGAAGATTGGACGTACTATGGCGTTCCTCCAGTCCTTTGGTAATCGCCCCTGAAGTAAGGATTGATTACAACATATGGTTAAGGGGTTGGCATTGATGTTAGTTAATTCCTTTAGTAGCCTAGGATTCCATTCATCGGCCCCTGGATTTATCTATGTCAAGCTTATTTAGCAGACCAAAGACATCGATTTCTTTAATTATCACCCCGTCTAGTGTTTGTGTGAGGGGATTTGCATGGACTGGCGGGATGGTTTTTCTATGGTATATACATCGCCAAAGTATTTTGAGAATACTTGGGCCTTACCAAATTCATCCTCCATTAGTGATGAGGCAGTACTGTCTCCACACAGTGTTGGAATATTTCTTCTTCTTTTTGTCCTTTGGTTTATATACAAAACAAGCTTTTACGACATCCTATGGGTTCCTCAACAATTTTCTCTTCGTACAGCTTTCTGGACTTACAGAGGGTCGAGGCACAGGTAATCCGAGGTTTTTGATACTGAGATTTTGCCTCTTCAGTTTTCAGTAACCTAAATCTATCTCACATTCTTCTCCTATTACGGAGAAGTTTGAGAACTTTCCCACCAAATCATGGTGGAGAGTTTCTCAGCCCCTTGATGTATTGTAACTGTTTCAATTCGGGACTCTGGCTCTATTGTAAAATCTACTGGCGATGCTAAGTGTATAATATCTTGTATATCTGCTTTCCAGGCGTTAGGTCTTGGTTGGGTTGATGCGCTCCCGTTTTTGGCAACTATATGTAAGTCAAAGGTTATAACTACATGGTAATTTTTGGCATTTATTGGAGGTTCTCAACATCATCCTCATAATGGGTCAATATAAGATCTAGTAAGGATGACTCCAAATGCAGGTCGTACCTAGTCGCTTCCTTCATATGGTATGCTAGGGCACATGTGATGATCAGTTCCTGCTCGAAAGAATTTTCTGACAATTCAGTTCTCAGATTTTCTCAGTCTACCACGGGTGTATTAACGTCTCCTAAGATCAGACATCGATCTCTTTGTGACCAAGCATCGTGCTAAATCCATGGTGGCTTTGAAATCATTCTTTGTCTAAGCTTCACAATCCGAAAATTTACAATTTTTAGGTTTCTTTTCTCTAGTGTCTAACTTATGTTGTAGTTCTTTTCCAGCTTCTCGTCTTTTTACTTTGTCGGTCAGTGGCAAGTCTTTATGGACAAAAACTCCTGAACCCTTTAGTTTATGGTTGCTCTGTAAAATTAAGTCGCATTCATTAGGAAATTCAAATACAACTTTAAGCAGTCTGGTTTGATTTTATTTCAAGTTCATTTGGCTACCTAATCTATACACATTTAATAAAGTGACTCTGGAGATACCATGAGGCATATGTAGATTTAGCAGCTATTTTATCGACCCCATGTTATGCATAAAACGAGTTTTAGGTTCAGAAATTTCACTTACCTTGATTCTATGAATGACAACTGACCTGTCACTGTGATCAGTCTTTAATTTCTCGACTACTTTTTAGGGTTTGAATCATCTTTTATAACGTTATGTCGTTTCCTGCTCACGACCTGTACACACTCACTAACTTTCGTCGGAGTAGCAATCATAGTTGCGTCAAACACGTTGTGGGATTTCGGAAGGTTATCGAAAACCTGTGCATTCATGCTGTATTTCCTGCTATAAGTAGATCTAGCCTTTCGACTAGGGTTCTTAGGTGTTTCTTGCTGACTACCAGGACGAGGGACAGAGAAAACTTCCTTTTTAAGCTTTTACTTAGGACAAACCTCCTTGAAGTCGGTTTTCCCTCATTTGATCAATGTGAGTCAACTGTTTTCGAGCTCATTTGAGGTGGCTTTACATTAATCTGTATGTCGACAGAGATAGTACCGTCCGATGTGTCCCAACCTCGTATTCTTTCAGTCTTTGAAGTGGTTAACCTTGTGGCCTTTAGCATGTAGCCTGAAAAACGTAAAAACGATAAGAAAAATGTCAATCAAAACGTCAAAACAACATATGACGTTATTGTTTCAATTTGATTCTATTGACTACACAAAGCTCCCGCGCTATCAAAATTCAGTAAAAATGACGCAACTGGAAGTAGAACCAGTTATTTTGAAACATTACACGATTGAGAGACGCATAGGAAAAGGGGTTTGTCACAATTAATTTTTCTCCTATCCACAGGCTTATGGGATAGTTTGGAAGGCGGTGAATAAGAAAACACATAAAAAATTGGCACTCAAAAAGATATTTGATGCTTTCAGGAATCAAACAGATGCTCAGGTATAAAGCACTATCTTAAACAATCGTTTAGAGGACGTTTCGAGAAATATCATTCTTACAGCAATTTTCTAATCACCCAAATATCATTCGTCTTTTAAATGTTATAAAAGCAGAAAACGACAAAGACATTTATTTAGTTTTTGAATACATGGGTAATTTAAACTTTTCTTCTTATTAAAAACAGAGACTGACTTAAATAATTGCATCAAAAAAGGAAATATTTTGAGAGATGTACATAAAAAGTTCATTTTCTACCAGTTGTTGCGAGCAGTTAAGTATATTCATTCCGGGAATGTCATACATCGTGATTTAAAAGTAAGCCATTCTCAAGATATTTGACCTGTCAAACTTATTTTAAAAAGCGCCTACTTCTAATTTTATTGTTATTTTAATTATACACACACTACACTTTCTCATCCAACTTCACTTTGACCACAGTAAAAATCGTTATTATTTGAATATACTGTGATGTAGACACACGTAAAATGTTTATTTTTAACATGGATGTCTTTTGTCATGTTTTTTGTAAGCTGAAAATCTATTTTCTTTGCAATTAAATGCAATGAGTTGCTAAAGTTGTCATTAGTCTCATTTTTTCAAATCGGACCTTTTAATCCCACTGAATGAAATTGGCTTCTTCCTTTTCCTTGCTTGAATTGGAGATAATAGTTTACGTGTCCCACACAATGTCTGATGCTCTGATGTCCTACTGAAATCCACTTTTGCTTCTCAGATAATGTATGAAAACTGTTAATTACACATATTCCTGTTGAAAAACTATATGACTTATAGTCTTGTGTTAGTATAAAGTTAAATTAATTTTGTAGGAATTTTTAAAATATTAGAATTAAATTCCCAAATAAATACTTTAAGACAGGTGTGCCGAAGAAATATGGCATAATTTCTTTAAAAGTCACTATTTAATGCACGGAGTATCAGAATACAGTTTTTCACTTCACAACCAAAGGACGGAATGCCATCGGTGAAAGGCATTTTATTGTATCTCCTTGTGATAATTAGGAGTATTTGAATTATATTACAAACTAGGAATCCCAGAAATAACGCGATTTAATCAAGAAGTATTAAATTAGCACAAACGGACGTATTATATTTGGAATTCGAAATCAGGCATTATCAGGTACAAAGGAATCATTAGTTCATACAAACTTCGCACTTCTTTTTTTCAGTAAGTCCCTCTCATATTTAAAATACAAGCTCATAGTTTGGATGCCAATTGACTTTCTCCATATGTCAGAAAAATTGACTAAAATTCCGTAACTTTTGATTTTCATTTTTAAATAAATGGCCTAGTATACCTTAACAAATCAGTCATATTTATTAGATTTATTGCTTACAAAGAGTTGTTGATTGATCAAATGATAGCTGACGGAGTCATAAATCTTCGAAAAAATGAACTGTTCATCAATGCTAACCGGATCAACATAGAAGATAAATATATTACGAGATTTTGTAATCTAGTAGCATTCGACCATGAATCTGATGGTAATCTAGTTTGGATAGAAAACAAAATTTCATCCCTTATTCAGTACTACGCTTAAAGTTACTGGAAATTTAGATTTGGAATACTTCTACTCAAACGTTTAAAACCATCAATAACAGTTTCTGTTTGAGAGGTTAAGCCAAAGCTATCTGTTTCTAATAATAATCTTTTTGCACAATGCACTGGTGATGGTTAATTTCCACAACTTTACTTTTATACTCTCAAAACTAGTTAAAACAAAAATTCAACTGTTTATGTAGTAGTTGATGCCTCTTACATAAAACTTAAAGCAATTCGTTTGAACATGTCTTCACCCAATGAAGGAAAATAAACCACCTATACAAAAACTTTTAGCTCGACCAAGTTGTGCAACGTAACAATAAATTACAAACTTCGATGCTTTATTACAAGCCTCAAAGCAACTCGTGGAGATACATAGTCGCCAAGTGAGTTATGAAAGTTGACTATGTGATCTACCTCATATTTCATCTGGGAATGATTCGATTTCAGACAAGAAGTTGTAGCTATATTTAATTTGATTAAACTTTGTAGTTTAGAAAATACAATTGTTTACAACCTATTTTGTTAAATATTTGCCAAACACCATAATAAGTAAGTAAAAAATCATGTGGGATACCCTCTTTTATATGTCTAAATGTGTAGATAAAATTCACTTGAGTGGATAATAAAACTGCCTCAGATGAAATTAGAACACTGGGTTACTAATTTGAGCACAAAAAGTTTGAAAACGGAGAAGGTGCTTTGCAAATCTGGTCACTGAATCCTGACCGCTTAAGAAAAAACAAACCTCTTAATTCATATTGCTGAAGCATTAAAAAAATTTGATTATTTAATTAAATCGAATTATTGCTTATACGTACTAGTATTTAGACAGATACCTTTAAACAGCCTCATTTAAGATATGTCCCACAACAAGAACTTTATCCAAAAGTTATTGAGTTTTGTTGTTAGCATTTCCCTCCCATATCAAGCGTTGGTTAGCTCTGTTTATATCACTGTGTGATATTTATAGATCAAAAGTGATGCTCTACACCATAACAGACCGTTGTCAGCTTTTGCACTCCGCGGCATTACAGAAAGAGGCAATAATAAACCGATTAAATTTGAAAAATGTTTACAAAAGACTGAATACACATCAATGAATGCGATGTTATTTCTTGTTATTTGGTCCTTCTCATGATGGCTATTATTAGGTAATAAGAAAGTCCATATGTTTCATACAATACAGTCTAGAAGTGAATAGCTGATAGTAGGTAATTAATGACACTAGACTATGACTGATCGTTTATAGTATTTTAATCTAATCGGTTCTTCCTAGTCCTTCAATTATTAAATTAAATTCCACAGTTACTTCACTCAGTGTCTAAAGCTGGGGTCAATTGCACAGAATGTAACTTCAAGCTAGCCTGACCACAATATAATACTAACCTATAGTTTTGATTACTGTCTTTTTAGGCTGCAATACGTGTTGGTCTTACAATTAGATATTTAGGTCGTTAGAAATAAAAGGATAAATTGTTTAACAAGCTAACCTTACTGATTCAACTTTTTTCTATAATTTACAAATATCTCACTAATCCAACGCTATTTACTTGTTCTCCTCTGTTTATTCATTTTATTTATCTTTCCCTGTTTATCTGCTTTAACTTGCCTGTGATGATACTGAAACCTTTTTTGTATGAAGTTCTATTTTACTATATCTATTGATAAATCGTTTTTAATAGCAACCTTATTTCGTTTCTCACTCCTTATTATATTTATTTACATTACATTCCATTGTTTATTACTGTATATAATTTTTTATATGACCTTGCTAAATTTCCTATTATTTCCATTACTTTATTTATGTTTATGTATCTACTGTAAAAAAATGGAGTTCATATATGTTTTAGTAAGTATACCTTTGTTACAAGTGGACACACCCAATTTTTCATTTTAATTTTATCACCCAACATTCTTTTCGCTGACCCAGTTTTTCAACCAGTTATTCTTCACACTGAAAATCACATGAAATAATGTATTCTTCATATGTTAAAAATTAGATACTTATTTATTCTTTAAGACCTTAAAGGCTTTCCCACATCAATAATATTATTGATATACAGAAATGTGTATATGTAGGGATTAATAATAATAAATATTGTGTGGAATATTTATGGGACTGATGGGATCGTCGAATATTTGACGTTTTTTTCTAATATCTTTGCAGATTTAAAAAAGGAAAGCTTAATACCTTATAAAGAAATTTACGAAACAATATGCATATTTACATTCTTACTCTGCGTTGTACCTCAAGGTCTTGCCTTTTCCCTTGTGTATGCTGAGGCGTACTGCTGTAGAGGCTGGTACTACACTCTCTGTCTCCACCTGCATTTTCGCTGTGTATGGGACAGGAGAGTTAGATCATCTGAGAAGTCCGAATTGTTCAACTGCATCCAAGTTGTCCATTATATTCCGTGCTTCGCCTGGAAGGTGAAGGTTTTTAAACTCCAGTCGGCCACCAGAAAAAAGAGAAAGCAGACTTATCTGACACCGGTCTTCGCTTAGAACGGAACTGTAAGCTGGCCTCCATGCACCGCTTTTCAGTGTAGTCTGTCGTATGAATTCTGTATAATGTTGACGATATTCTCAGGTACACCATGGTGTCGAATAAGACTAAATAAGGTTCTCATATCAACCCTGTAAATACTTTCTCACAGTCAAAAAAGTCGATGTATGGTGACGAGTTAAACAATGATCCGTAATGTTGCAATTTATTCGGTACACAACTAATTCTTACAGCATCCAGCCTATTGATCTCGAAGCTGGGCGTCTGCTGAATCTCTCATCCGGTTCAGCGACACACTAATGAAAACCTTTCCTGGTACCGACAGTAGTGTGATCCCCATGTAGTTCCCGCACTTACTAAGATTTCCTTTCTTTGGTATCCTGATAATTTATCTTTCCTTTCAGTCTGATGGTAATTGTTCTTCCTCTCAAATTTTTCTGAAGAGAACATGAAGCGTCTTAGCAGTTACCTCTGTGTCTGACATAACTGTCTTGTGTGTTATGATGTATGGTTCTGCTGCTTACAGACTTGATTTATCTGATGGCCATGGTGATGTCCTCCGGTTGTTCTCAATGATAGTTTCTTCTTTTTTGATTAGATCTTGTAAGACTTTGAACCTGTTGTTCAGAGTTATCTTGAATACGTTGAGTTTGTCAGTATCTCTAAGCAAGGTTGTACTAAACCTCTGTAATGCTGCTTCTCCAGTTGTTTATTGCTTCTTTAGCTTCAGTTTCATCTTAGCAAACATGTGGCGATCTGAAGCTATACCAGCTCCTCTCCTGGTTTTCACGTTTCCCATTGACCTTGTGAATATTTTTTTGAAACAGATATGATTGATCTGATTCTCTGTAGTGTGACCCAGTGAGACGCATTCAACTTTGTGTACGTGTTTGTGGAGGGATATTGTGGCATCTATAATCAATTTGTTGAACGCAAGTAGATTCTCAAATCTCTCACCATTCTCATTCCTTTCTCTTAGTCCATATCGTCCAGTGATATCTTCATGTCCAGTATTTTTCATTCTGACCTTCGCGTTTAGATCTCCTATCAGGATAGTCAGATCCTTTCCTGAGCGCTTCTCTACGATCGACTGCAGTCTCCCATAAAACTGATCTTTATCATCTTCATTGCTATCGCTGGTGGGTGCATAACATTGGATAACATTCATTGTGATCCTCTCCTTTGTTTTAAAGGATGCTTTGATGATCCTGGAATGATAAGATTCCCATCCTATAAGTGCTTTACATGCTTCTCTGGACAGCATCAGAGACACTCCCTTCGTGTTTGGAGTATTTTCTTCTGTGTTACCGGAGTACAACAACATTTCTCTCGAAGCTAATTCTTTCTATCCAGCATGGGCCTAACGGGTTTCACTTATTCCGAGAACCGCCAAGTTGTATCTCCTCATTTCCGTAGCCATTTGATTAGCTCTTCTGGTCACCTAAATTGTCTGGATATCCCATGTATCTATACTAATTGTCGCTCTGGTTGTTAGAGAGGATATCGGTCTCGTGAATTCAGAAGAATCTCGGCTTTCACTATTAACGTCATAATTCTGAATTTCAGCTGTCATATTATTATTTAATGATTCTTTTACACCTAGTCTATCATAAATTTAAATATTCGAGAGGAAAATTATGGGATGCATTTAAATTAAAAGAGCGATGAACAGTAGTATTCCAGTATTTAGTTTTGCATAAACCTACACGAGTGATGATTTGAGTGATCCGCAACCTCACTGAACTGATTAGTGAAGTTTTTGACATTAATGAATTTGTTTTGTATCTAATTCTAAATTATGTATATCAGATTATTCTATTCTTACCTAATTCCTGCTTTCTGGTGCAATTTTCTTGTTTCCATCATAAAAGCGACTCTAAATACTAACAATCTTTCCGTTTTACTTGAAAACGAATGTCTAAACCTGAACCATTGACATTTGATATCAGTTTCTAACTTCTTTTCCTAGTGGGACTTTTTGAATATACCATTTTATTCTATTTTTATGTGAATAATTAAAAATAAATTAAGATATCACAATGAAGTACTCAAGTTTTAAACATTTTAGAACAAATTTTATTGACTAAATAATTTCCAAAAACAAATGATTCACCATATATTTCATCATTATATATAATGCTCTAACATATAAACTGATCACCATCTGTTGAGGATATTCCATTAATCAAATTTTGACAAGTAGTTTGTGGATATTTTTCTGATTTGAAGGTAAGTAGTCAGTACTCTATGGGTATCCTGTTAATTTCAGTCAGTGATAAGATTAATTCTGATACTGCTCATTATATATTTTTTTATATTTTACATTTATAGCCATCTAATGTTCTGTTAAACTCGGACTGTTTGGTGAAACTATGTGATTTTGGCTTAACACGTTCATTGACAAATACTCTAGAAAATCGTACAACATCTATGGAATCATTTATAGATGGAGATGATGATTATGAAAATCCTGTATTAACCGAATATGTAGCTACGAGGTGGTATCGGGCACCAGAAATTCTACTAGCTTCAAATCGTTATACAAAATATGTAGATATATGGAGCTTAGGGTGCATATTAGGTGAAATGTTACTTGGTAAAGCATTATTTCCCGGTACATCAACAATCAATCAAATTGAGAGAATCATATCGGTTATGGAAAGACCGACAATACAAGGTTAGTCCTTCAATATCAGCGTTCCAAACTAAAATTTGACTAAGTTTATACGAATGTAAAACGACTACGTTTGAATTGGACGTCAAAAATTAGTAAGAGAAAATAGATGATCCAGATATTTGTTTAAGAGAAAATTACACTTCATATGGAAGATTAAGACAAACGTTTCATCAAATCGTATTCTCCATTTGTGTTCATCGTAATATATATATATAATCAGTTTGTGAGAAACGTACTTTGTCTATCAAAGTTTAAACACATTTCGAATACAATATTTTAGTAGTTATATCACTAAATTTAGCTGGTATTCAATTTGAAATTATGGAAACACAACCCTTGTCACTAGTGACGCTTTTAATAGCGGATCAACAGTCACATAGATGCATTAAACGATATGCTGTTTTGAATGGTTCGAGATCTTAATGACACAGCGGAGAAATCTAGTTAAATCTCACGCGAAAACAAATATATCTAAAACAAAATTTTTTCGAAGCTATAAAAAGCGAAGGTGCAGCTGTGTTGGTTCTATTGTTTTCATGCAAGTTCATCAAATTACTACTCCCAATAGTTCTCCCTAACTCCTGTGTTAAGGCTAAAAGGCTTGCCGTTTTTGAAAACCAAAACCAACTCTTGATAATTATACAGTCTCTCTTCGACCATCCTCAAGCTTCTCTCAGTTTCCATTTCCTTCGGTCGAAATTGCATACTGAGATAGATAGTGGGTGAACATATGCCTTAAATCCTTGAGTGTGGATAAAGAATTTAGGTTTATAGTTTGTGATTTATGTCACTCTACTTGTTATCTGTTAGCAGTCTTTATCAGTTAATTGACTCAGTTATTGTTTCAGAATACAGTAATTCTACGTAACATAGCCTCCTAGAGTCTGAACAGTGAATATTATTCATTCTAAGAGCTTCTCAATTTTCTAGTCGAATGCATGAAAATCTACTTTAATGAGTCCCTATGAAATCATAAATCTTCTGTGATTAAATAAGACTTTTTACTAAGGATGTTATTTTACTCGTATATAAAAATCTATTCTTTTGGTTACATTTATTTATAATGATTAACGTGCGTCAAATACCAGTCAATCTACTTCTAATGATTTAATACTTCGAAGCACACCTTTGAATAAGTAAGAGATATTTGTTCCAAGATGTGGAAACACATTATGAGTACCAATTCCTTTACTAAATATCAATTGTACAATGAACGAAATACGGTCTCTTTAATAAAATATAGACTGATGAGACACATAAATCTCAATGCTACAAGACGAAAGTATTGATGTATCGCAAAGCTGAAATATGTTGATCTTCAATTCCCAGTAAAGTGGACAATCAGTAGCCGTTAAATATGATACGTTTCTAAGTTTGGTTTCATAAAGGATAACTAGTGTACTAATTAGTACTAGATGACTGCCAATTGTCTTATGGATTCCAACAATCCTGAGATAGGTACTCACTAGGTACATTGCAAGATGGTTGCACGATATTACAAACTGATTGAAGTTAAATATATAACTCACTAGATTCTGGTTTAGCAGTATAGAGATTAAGCTCTCGTACGAGTAATTGAATGTCCTGGGTTCGACCTTTGGTATCAGGGTCACGGTTACACATAGCCAAGTTGTTCCTTATTAGGACAAAACAGATATCCAGTCCCTTTTGGCTAATAAGGGTTATTCAACTAAGATCATCCCGTGATATTAACTATAAAATCTTTGAGATCTCAAAGTCTATAATGTAATCTGTTTTTAAATCAAATATTTTTCCAAAAATCTAATGCCCAAATGATTAGAGTTTACGAACATCATGAATATTTCTAATTGATTAACCCACAAAACGTGATCATAATAAGAAAATGAAAAAAAATCACCAACAACAAAAACCAAATTCAAGGTTTGTTTCAAATGAACCTAAAGACAACTGATTTGAAATACCAAGAAATCTGTATAAAAAATGAAACAAAGAAAGTGCTTAACCCTCTAGTGTTTCTATGAAGGTAAGTGACTCAGTGTACTATTGAAGAGATCCTCTCCTACTGCTTGGAAAAAAGAATTATACAACTCACTGTCTTATGTCTGTCAATATCTACCAAGATATGTAACAAAATGAATACGTCAGAATTTGGACACTTAATCATCTGGTATTTAGTTTAACTTTTTAACTGATGTCCTTCTAGTTTATCAGAAAGTTTTGGTCCTTGTTGATTTTCTTTCCCTCATGAATTGCTAAAAAATGTCTAGAATAAACATAAAAACCGTCAGTTATGCCGATTAATTCGGTTGTATATTATAGTCGCAGATTGAAATGAACTAAGAATAAAATTGTTAATGGGTTTTAGTTGAGATTAGTTTGATATGTGGATGAGACTCATCGTAGAGACAACTCATTTAAGTACCACTAATAACCAGGGTAGATTGGACTAGTTTTTTATCCTATCAGCTGATGGCTTGACTTTTAGGACACTGGATTGCTAACTAATGGTATCGAATTTCAAATTTAAATATAGTTACTCAATGATGAGTACTACCATTCTAGAGCAAAACTCCTGGCTAGTATTCCATCGTTTTTAATGAACCGAGGTCGATCTGTGACAAATATCATAAAAACCAGGTTGTCAATTATTTTCTTATTCTCACAGGCTCTTTGAAAATCACATTGTTAGCTGTATAAGAATACCCATCACATCAAAACACTGATATATGAACGAAGAACATTCTTTTTAATGAATTGTCTCCAGGTTTTAATGCTATATTTTCAAATTAATGATCCCCAAAGCAACCACATTTAACATGAATACATTGTTTATAATCATAGCATGTGAATTTAAGATTACTCTTAAAATGAAACAAATTTTTTATTGTCCAAATGACTAATATGCAGTGACAACTTGTATAAGCTTATACGGTAAACAAAATTGTGGAATTAATGATGATCAGAATAAATGTGGGTAATATAGGGTGAGATAAGTAATAATATAATAATGGACGGCCGTTTCGTCCTATTATGGGACTCCTCAGAAGTGCGCATCCACGAACCCGCTCTCGCGAGATTCGAACCCAGGACCTACCAGTCTCGAGCCGAAGCCCTTAACCGATAGACCACTGAGCTGACATCCAACGCGTGTTCGTGGATGCGCACTGCTGAGGAGTCCCATAATAGGACGAAACGGCCGTCCAGTGTTTCCAGGTTTTCCTCGGTGGTCTAGCTTCAATTGACTCATGCTTTCAACTATGAAACATACCAAATCTCCACAAAACCCCTTCTAATAATTAATAATATAATATCAATTCAGATCGAATATTTGGTAGAAGGCTGTTACGTCCTTGACCTGTCGACCCACTTTCGTGCCGAGAATAACTTGTCTAACGTAGATTAAGATCTTTGACACGATAGGCTGACTGGCTTAACCTTGAGGCTGGTGTGCGTGAGTTCGAAGTGGAGTAAATAGACGAAAACTATCCTATCACCTGATTGACTGGCAGGCACGAGAGAGAGAGAAGAGAAGACAACTGGAACACTACTCGCTTTAATCCCAAATCCGATCTGGTACGCGAATTCAGATTAGTGTAAAAAGATACATTAATAAATAGATGACTAACCCGACCACAACGTAGAACAATCAGGAAAATATAGTTATGTCCAAAACTGGGGGATTACGTTACGTCTAAATTACAATAGCTTTGGAACAGAAAAGGCTATGGCAATGAATCATACATCAAACGAAAGCTTACGATCTGTAGAATAGACTAGGGACAAAAGTAAATGTTACTGTTTTACAAGCTTTGAATTAAATGAAATAACGTTTCCAAAATTAGCTTCCATAGTTTTTCAAGGCTTCTCGTTTCTCTGTTCACATCAAAGATTATATAATGTATGAAATTATGAGTTCAGTAAAAGATAAAGTGATGTAAGAGCTAACTAAATTAACCATGTTTTCGAAAGATTGATAGTGATATTGAACCGATAATAAGATACGCAAATAAAAAAATAAGGCACTAGCACCATTGTATACTAGCTTGGTCTAGAAGCGAAGCTTTACAGTGTCCAGGGTCGTGAACGCGCACTAATAATGAGTCCCCCAGTAGGAGAAAATGGCCATCTATCGCTTCCAGGTTTCCAGTTGTGGTCTAGCTTAGATCGTTTCGGAACTAAAACTGTGAAAAGACAAGACTAAGTAAAGCCTTACGTAAATTAATCAAATTAGGTCATTCTATAATTAATATTATTTTTGATTTATTGGCCCTGAAGTTGGCCAAGGTAAGAGAAGGGGTTAAATATATTTCATGTGCACACACAGTTCTTGTTTTATAATTTGAATAGCTATCACTTCCACCGTTTAAAGGACTTTGATTCAAATAGACTTTGCAAAAAACTATATCGGCTTCAAAATTTGAACTAATGACTAGTTATCAAACATTTGATAAGAACAAGTTGATTAATTTGATATTATACGTCTAGAACCAGTCGAAATAAACCACTCGCTTAAAGGTTCACTACTGTTGATATAAATTGTTGAAGTTTTCCACAAACTGATTTCACAGGTTACTCGTTGTTGGACCAGATTCCATAGAAGATTTAATCATCAAACGACAATTGAGATGTGAACTTGGTGTTTAATCTTGGTAGAATCCCACCTATTACAAAGTGCTACGTGAATAATAAATGCTAATCTAGGGAACTTTCTTGAATCACATCGTTGTAACCAGTATTATGGTGTGTGATCCACAGTGGTACTCGTCTTCTTTCCATGAAAACTATAATATAATTTTACGATGATATTGTTGACTTTCAGTAACACATTAGTGTCTTGTATGAAATTCTGAGATGGAGTGTTCATGGACCATTCATAGTCGATGACTTCCCAGATTGTGGTTAGATTTTCCAGTTCTCTAAATAAACATTATTTCTTCACAGGCCTTCCATCAAACCATAAGATTAAAATTACTTTATACCTTTCCTTCTACGAACTCATTCTTTCTCCCTGTATCATATCCTTATATGAAATATTTTTTACTACCACTCAAGTAACTGCTTCTACGAATGCGGTGTTCATCTTGTTGTGTTAATGAGATATAACGACTTTGATCGACGCATTTATGTGCCTGGTCCTACTTTGTAGTTGACTGACTAACTGACTGAAGTTTCAAATAAATCTTGTTAATCATCGGTTAATTTTGATTAAATAGAAGGTGGCCAACGGTAGAAATGCGAGAGTACGTCATTATTCACTGAAAAGTTGTTAATTTAATTCATTTATTAACAATCAAGTTATAACTCGAATTGAGATATCATCCACTGATAAAATTATATCCAAATGATGTACTTGAAGTATCTCAATACAATCATGAGTAACTGTAAGTCATCTAGTGCAATAAATAATAGAATTTGAGAAAATGAACATTTATGAATCTGCAACTACTCCATATGGACTAATTTCAAAAGAAAAAAAAAGTGTATGCCATGTTCCACTGGTAATTAAAATAAACAAATTTCGTGAAACACCGAGATGTATCAGTGATTAGTTCATAGTTGGAGGAATATTCAGTGTATTTTAGCAAATAACTCGTAATGTATTTTACAATTAATGTTATCGATAGTATCAGAGGGAGAGAGAAATAATTCTGGTATCTTTTTAACCGTATTGTGTGGTTAACTTGCATTTTTTCTCGTATATGACCATTATTATTACACTTAGTTGGTTTTTGCTTTTATGTGATACGTTAATTAAGTAGTTATCTCTACTCTTTTGTTTTACAGACATTGAATGCCTTCATTCAGACTACGGTAGATCAGTGTTGGATAAAGCTTTTCAGAAGTAAGCTAATAATAACATAGTGTCACTGTGTTGAATAGGATATAATTTTTGTCCATAAATTATCACTGTAAACTAGTCATATCCTTTATTTATTCAATTTGACGGAAATTTTCCAAGAAGTCACTATATTATGATATTCTGACAAATATTCACAGCTCATAATAGATATGTTTTCCTCATCTTCTTTGAGATAATTTTTTCATAAGCTAAAAGTATTTTTTAATGCACCGCTGATAAATTCTGGTACTTGAAATATCTCTTAATGGAGTATGACTTTTCATCACCAGACAAGACCAAAAGAATTGCTTTTAACAATGATTCTTCGCAAAAATATAATTGTATACTAAGCTATTGATGACAACTATGATGAACAATAATAGATGGTTAATGTTGACAAAAAAGTGTTGTACTTGAAGTTATAACTTAGTGGTGTAAATTAGATGTTTTTAGCAATCAGCTACAAATTTACTGCAAAACATCTAACAGATTAACTGGTTTTTTATCCTAAGTAATTCACTTTGGAAAGTTACAGGTTTTATAGAGATAAAACGTTTTAAATTGCTTGTCAATAGCCGAAAAAGTCACTGACAAAAAGTGTTTATTAGATGGATTGTGATTACCTGTTGAAAATGTCATTAGGTATTAACTGTTTATTTCAACTTTAGCTGTCTTCTACTGGGTATTGAATGTACATGCTATTGAATCGTCTTTCCAGCATACTGTTTGTAATAACTTCATTCTCTTTGTGAAGTATTATTAGAATTGTATATTAACGAAATTAAGATATCTGTGCGACAGGAAAATTTAGTAACACAAGGGCAAAACGAGAGGTTTCTTATGACAAGGGATTGATCATAAAAGTTAGACATGCTCAAAGACAGATTTTGGCACCATCAGTTATATTAAGATATTTTAAATGTGCAATGATTACTAATTTTTTCGTTATTATTTGGTAGTAAAAAATGTATGAAATATATGTAGATAGAGTTAAGGAATGGTGATGAACGAACTGACACAAAATGAAGTTGTTTCACTACTGTTATTTTAAAACGAGGTAATAAATGTCTTGAGTTATAAATAACAATCATGTTTGGAGGGACTTAGACGGTAAGCTGTGATGAAGGTGACATAAATGATAATCTTGAATAAGCGTTGTTAAGTGAAGAGTTATTTGGATTTATATTTACAAATTAGTAGAGTTACATTTATCATTATGTGAGATACACAGTCTAGTGGTCCAATGATTTTACGTTCTAGTCCTATGAGAGTCTATGTTAATGTATTACTTTGGAACTACATAGTGAAATTAAACAGCTATATGCTGTGAAATAAACTTTCATTAATGTTTTTAAATCTATAACAATTAGTTTTAAACTCATCATTGAAGGATACTGGGAATGATAATAATACAAATAATCAAATGTAGATTGATTATTATTATTTGTTTTGGATTTTTCGCTTGCTTCGTTTTCTTTTATAGACCATATCGTCCCTTACGTACGTTATTTTCAAATAATATAGACGAACAAGCTTTGAATTTACTTGAAAATATGATTCGATTGAATCCAGAGAAACGCTTCACTGTTGAACAAGCATTAAATCATAGTTACGTGGAAGAGTAAGTATTAGACATTGATTAATTCTCTTGACTACTTCATCCAATTGATATGATTTAAGATTTTACTGTATCTCCGTTTTTTAATAGGTTTAAAAGTTCCAATTCTGACTATGTGATATAGTCCCTAAATTTTTCAGACTATGGGTTATTATTTTTTTTTAAATTCATCTACGTAATTTGAAATGATTCTATGTTTAGATTGGTTTATTTCATTTGAAAAAGATTGCATACGAATCCATTCGGATAATACAGACTATAATGAAAGTCAACTAATATAAATCATTTGTTTCGTACTACTTAATTTTAAGTGGTTTTCTGGTTGTAAAAATTATCAAACATAAATGCACAAATTAAATGATTCAATGTTCATTTGACAACTGTATTTGTTTCATATTCTCTCTCTCTCCATACATATGTTTATATATATGCAACTTCATCAAACAGCTTTCGTGATCCTTCATCTGAAATCGTATTAAAACATCCAGTTACCCCTATTCTAAGAGATGACAAACAATTAAGCGTATCGGATTATCGTCAAAAATTATATGAGGTAATTCAAACAACGATTATTTTTTATTATTTTTTTTTATTCTGTAATAATAACTAAAATCGAGTTTTGAATTTATTGGATTGAAAATTTGTTGTATATTTTACAGTACTCAGAAATACTTATGAGTAACTGTTTTCTGTTTAAATTACCGTCTGTAGTTGTCACAAGATAGTCACTTATTAAAATCGTGTCAAAACTCAATAATACGTTTAAAATTTAAAAAAATAAAAACTATGTACTTTGTTGTTTAAACCGAGGATCTGATCTAATTATATCCGAACAGATACTTTCAAGATTTTTATAGTAAGCATGAAGTTTTAGTGTTATCTATTTGATTTCAAAATGGTATTATTACTAAAAAGCTTTAGGTTTGTTTGTGATAACATACTATCAACGGTAAAATAATCATTATTACTGCTAGTTATGTAGGAAACAAACGATATTTCCCGTCATAAATATAGTTATAGTGGTACTTGAAGGCTAAAAGGCATAAGTGAATCAACTTGGAATGAATTTAATCAACTCAGTTTCGGTTATTTTATATTCAGACCTAAAACAACAATTTGACATTTATTCACACCTTCTGTACTTTGCATCGAATCGCATTATGTAGATTTCCCTTAATTGTTTTCTTACCACAAGGTGTTTTCCTTCTCGTTTATTATCACGAATGTTACCAATGTTTATTTGAAAATATTTGATAATTTATAAACGACGTGAAAGAAATTCCTAATAATGAGTCTTGAGGCATTCAGAATAACCATTATATTTACAACCTTCTGATCCTTATTTATATTTCTGCTGATTTCATTTCTAGTAGCTGTAATTCTTATTAGACATCACCAACTAGTAACTGAATTCAGCCAGTATACTCCATTAAATATTGTCAGTAAATTGCCCATCAGAAAATTTAGTAATCTGAACGACGATCAATCAGTTAAGTGTTATACGAATAGTAAGATTTTTACTACTTATTAGTAGCCAGTTTTATTTCTCAAATATAATTCTATTTTCTGTAGATTATAGTGGAAAAGAAAGCTCAACATAAAATGCGAAAATTGCTACGCTCAGTTGAACTGAATGAAAACAAAACAACTGGAAATTCATTGGTACGTTCGTTTTTCGTTTCCGATAGTTTTCTCAAGTGATTCGCCTTTCTGTTCTTACAATTAGCTCAGTGGTCTATAGGTTAAGCGTTCGTGCGCGAGACCGACGATCCTGGGTTCGAGTCCCGTATGCGGGACCGTGGATGCACAATACTAAGGAGTCTCATACTTGGACGAAACAGTCGTCCAAGGCTTCCAGGTTTTCCATTGTGGTCTAGCTTTAATTGACTCATGAAAAATTTTAGCTAATAATACTGTGAGCATGTTATATAATCCTTAAAGACGGTAATGAAAGCGTTCTCTTAAATACTGGATTCGGTCGTTAGAAGTACTGACATTTAATTAATATTAGCAGTTAGTCTAAATAGAGGAACAGAGAACTTGAAGAAAGGCGAGCTATTTTTAAATTTATACAGATAAAGTCTAATAAACTATGTGCCAGATAGATAATAATTTAAACAGGTAACAGCTTATAGTTGCTAAATATTTTTTAGTTATATAGTTTGTAACTCACCAGTAGTGCCCGTCCATACCGGAACAAAACAGCTATTCAGTTTTCTTTTATTTTCAATGGTTTTTCGGTCTCACAACGAAAAACATATTCGCTTGACGCAGACGTCATCAGAAAATACCTTTGCAAATTTTCTGGTACGATAAGTAAATATGAATGGTCAGTGACCTATGTAGTAATTCTAGTTCTTTAAAAAATAGCTCATAAATTTATTTCGTTTATCTAAACGTGAAGTATTTTATCAAAATAACCAGAAAACTGAGTCTAAATTCCCCATAAATAATTACTTAAGTTCGGAAAACATTAAAACTATAAAAATAACATTAGTGTCATGTTATATTTTATTTTGTACATGATACTTCTTAAATTTTCAAATCATCTGATATTCTTCACTCTCTGGTTAGGTTTCTAAAAAAGAATTGAATTATGAAAATACTTCTAGAAACAAATCCCAAACTGATCTGATTAACCAAAATATCAATAGAGTTGACCGTCACGATCCAAAACTAAGTGAGTTTTGTTATAAAAAGAAAAAGTGGAAGTAGAAACTATTTTGCTTGAATTACATTTAAAATTAATTGATTTATATTAGGCGTTTCTGAATGGTATATTAAGTTTAGTTAGAGATGCTGAAATCGAAATTTCGTAAATTTTCGGCAAGTTCTATTAACACTCTTTTACCCTGATGGTAAATCTTGGAAATTACAAGACAAGGATCTCATTTGTTTGAATACTCAGTCAGCAATCTTATGGTTGAGCCTTTTGCCTATCAATCAACTTTACCGTAAGGACATAATATGTACAGAAATTGTTTATCTTGATTTCTTCTGAAATTTACTGTTTACCGTCGTTAACCCTATTTCAAACATATTAAGCCGTCATTAGCATTCAAATTGGTAGAAATTATGGCGAATACCTTCCTCAAGTTCTTCACTAAACAGTGGGTTATTAAAATTATTCTTACAATAAGTGAACTATATGTTATGTGATTTGAAAACTTTCTACATTTCAAAGATTATTTAGCCAAATACCTTTATATGAAGAACATGAGTTACAGCACTGGTGTATCGATCTGAAATGAACTTTGAAAACCACAACCTAAAAGTAATAGGTTCGTTCGATCAAGCTGAATATAAGATGTCAACACAATATTTTACATAATGGTGCATACAGCAACATAAATATCTCATGTAATTACACTCATAACTGCACAATAAACAAAAATGATTTTCTGAAATCGAGGTGTAGATTTAGTCTTTTCCTTCTTCTTAGTAGTATATGCATTTGCAAGGACCAATGATTTTTGAAACTTAAGAATAGTAAAGTGATTAAAACCAGAAATGTTTCAAGTTTGATTCGTAATGTATTGACCAGATCTTCATCTTTCACCATACCTGAAGATATAGCCATGTTCCTGATTCTTTATACAGGCCTGCCTAACCCAAAGGTAGAATTTATGCCGGAGTTTTTAGCAAATACTATGTCGTATTTAAAACACTTTGTTCATTGAAGGACTTGTACAGAACCATTACCCAAGGTAAGAACTGGCAGTCACTAAGGTAGTCTGCGCTTATCAGTTGTGGTAATTTAGTTATAAACATACTAATGGAGGTAACTGAGTTTTTAACGGGGAAGTTACTGAGTTGTCAACCTTCCGTTCTGCGTTTAAGATTTACTTAAAATGCAGTGAAACGATCAGCAAGTTGCTATTATAGGTTGCCATATAATAGACATATCTATTTACCGTGTCATCAAACTGATTGTTAATCAAAACTAATGTCAAGTAATATTTCCTAGATTTTCATTTTTTTTAACCAAGAACCATCACAAACCAATTGACGAATATTTTAACATATGTTTTGTGCTTGAAACGTATTGTAGAACTTTTGGAATAACTGAATTAATCGAAATACAAATGAGGAAGTTATGCATCAACTAAATGAAATCTTAACTAATATCATTAATGGAAACGCTGTGTAGTCATTATTTGAATAAATAAATATAGTAGATAATATCTCATAGAATTCAATTAAGCTGGATTTACATAGTGTCAAAGTAACCGACAACAATAATTCTCTGTAACCTAATCAAGTCATTAATATTTCTTATCTTCATTTGCTTCTACTCAACGTTTTACGTTACATGACCACATTTTTATATTAGGTAATACATTGGGAAACCAACAATCCAAACCAACTGAAACAGCGAATCAATATCAATGCCACTCTGATTCTAATGAGACGAAATCCTCGTCAGATTCATATAATTCGCAAAATCAAAGTAGCACAAATATTAATCACAATATATCAATCTCATCACCGGTGAATCATACAAAAAATTTACACAGCAATAGTGCATTTGAAAATGAACATATTTCTCAATCCAATGTATCTAATCAGGTGATTTCAACGTTTTTATATTGTGTATGAACATTCTGAACTTTCGTTAGTGTTATGAATCAATTGAGATTAATAGTTATTTGACATCATTTTCTCTTATGTTCATGGGACGATACTCGAGGCTGATGGTGACGTCAAAGTTAATCCATTAGGTTGTTTTTATTTGTTTCTATTTGCAATTCATCAAATGATTCTTCAGTAATATGTTCATTAAAATTCCATAGGTCCAGAGCCACATATACATAATCTTCAGCTTTTACTCTCTCTCTCTCTCTCTTCAAATGATAATGGTTTTTAAGGGAAACTATATTATTTAGCTACAAACAACATTCCAAGATTATTAATTAAAAAATTAACTCCAAGATTTTAACACAATAATTTGGTAATGATCAATTTAACTAAACTTGATTTGGTAGCTGGCAAGACAGTGTTTTTCTCCTAATTCACCCACTAACATGATCTAACTAGCTGTATTTTGCTAAAACAATGGTATTCGAAAGAAATAATATGGGAAAAATTAGACCTAAATACAGATTACGTGTCTCGTTTTTATTAAGCAAATACCGATTGTGGACAAACAAACCCGAAAATATGGTATACAACTTCTATGTTTATTGAAACTCTTTTCAGTAATGGAAAAGTAATATTGACAAATAGCAGTGCCTGAACTTAATTCAGTTTTCAATGGCTTGTTTCTTCCATGTAGCCGAAATCCACATCTGTTTCTACAATTAAAGCAAGCGCGAACTCCAATCTAGCGAACAATAAGATTATCAATAACATATCTGACGAATTACATAAACGAGTAACGTTACCTACCTCATCTGTCAGTTCACAAAAATATAAACATGAGTTTGCTCTAAACTCAGAGAACCTAAATAACACCCAGACCATGAAAATCAGTATGAGTAAAGAAGCAAATAACCCAGTTATCCTTCGGGGAAACAAGAATACAAGTTTCGGAAGAAATTCTCAACACGTAAGTTCATTTCCGTTACTTATATGAACAATTATTTTTAACTACTGTCAATATAATAAGTAGTATAGAATGAAGTGTGAAGCATCTGGTGGTCCATCTTTGACTTCTGATACCAAGTTTCCTAGTACGTATTTCTTAGTAGCTTATACATGACATGCTCATAACTGAAATTTATACTAGGAATATACCATTTATACATGGAAATACAATGATTTTCTCAAATAAAGGGGTTTCTGATTACTGTAGGTGCTTGTGGAGATTGTTGGATTTTGCGGATTACATCACGTACTAATCTATAGAAAACCAGGAAGTACTGGTCATTCATTTTTTCGTAATACGAGATTACTCATCATTGCCTGTCCAATGCCCCGTTGGAGATTGAACAAAGGACGTCCAGGTCTCACAGAGGGCTTTTAACCACTAGGCCGTTAGCCCGGCACCTATTGGTTAACATGTTCGACTTTAATCAATTCACACTATTACTCAACAGTCTTTCAATATCATTGGTGGATGGGTGACTCACTGGTCGCGACTTCCAACTAGAAATATGGGGATTGTCTTTTGAAGTTAGTCGCTAGTAAGCACATGGTTATTAATTACTGTTGGAGGTTTGCGAAGATTATGGAAAATTATCGATTGGTTATATTGCGGACCGGTCGGAGTTAAAAACGTTAGATACTAGATAGTGGGTCAGTGGTCTTGAATCTAAGAGTTCTTAATGTGACCCAAAGGCCCCGGGTTCAACCCCTAGTAAGACTATGGATCCACACTCTTGAAGATTTCCATAGCCGGATGGTACGGTGGACCAGTACTCTCTGGTTCTCATCTAGATCAGTCGTTAATGCAGTCTAGAAAATATATTCCTCTTAAATTGTAAAAATGATTTATCTATTTCAGAATTTTCTGTTACGTATTGTCAGGCTTATTGTTTTCACTGTTTTACGTTTACAAAAATAGACCACAAGTCTTAGTGACATAATAGCTGTGTAAAATAGTTTACACGAAGTTTTTCAGTTGTTAATAAATATATTTTTTGTGATATCCAAATGAGTTGTTTTTATAAACATGGCTGAAGGCAGTTAGCAGGAAATCATAAGCTTAAGTTTTGTACTAGTTGGCAATCCTAATCTAGACTTATTCTTGCCCTTCAGATAGCTGAATCTACCGATGGGATTTGAAACTGTATGACAAAATGTCGTAACTAGGGTCGTTACTAGCACGTTATTTGGGGCCCAACTAGTCTTTTAAGTCATACTTCAACTTTATCAATAAAATTCGACGAGCATCAAGAATATGACAATACAACATTTGTTGATACAAAGTGTTTTGTCAATACATACGTGAAAGTGTTACGAAGTGACATTGTTAATAAACTCTTCATCATTAACCTTATAGACAACAGTAACTACTTTTAGAAAATTTGATAAGTTAGATCTTAATAATTGATATCATTAAAAATGTTGGCGGTTAATAACTACTTACAATCTCATGGCTCTAAATTGTGCCCTGAAGTAAGCTACATATATTTCTATGAACACCGAAAGCTAAGAAAAACAATGAATTATAATGGTTCATCAGTACCTAAAGAGCGAAAGGTGATTGACTGATGTTCATAATACTAGTCAATTATAATTCATGTAAATGAATAAAATATAGTATCTAATTGGGGTAAAACAATTCGATACATAACTTGGATTAGTTTGTGCGAACTTTCAATGTTCTATGTCTTATGTATCATACCTTATTTTATTCTACAAACTACTATACTAACAACTATATATGTATATAATCGAATATACATAAATGTAACTATCTAATATTCATACAAATTACAATATTTTTTAATTTGCAAAGGAATAGAATAATTATTTTTCTTTACCAACACCGTTATCACAGTCAACAACACTGCCATGTTTTATTCCTAACGAATCAATTACTTATTAATGAACGGACGCAAATAAAATAACTACTATTTACCATATGTTTCAAATAGTGTTACATTATTTTGAACTGTGTTTAAATCAATACTGTTCATTTAATAACCGGTGGTATACATTATTTCCCAACACGCTTACATATACACATATGTGTGTGTATTATCAGAGTGAAGAATAGCAGGAAAATATGGATAGTTGTTCGATTTCCGTCAGAATAAGCAATAATTATGGGAAGGTTGTGTTTCAGATTTTAGAATAAAATAAATTAGAGGCTTGTAACATTATCACCTTATCAGAAGGAATGAGTATATCCATACTTGCAAACATTTGCGAAGAAATAATTATACAGCCAGGCAACTAAATAAATGTGACTTTATCTTAAAAACCTAGGCAATTAACTAAACAAACGTAAATAACCTACTGTTTATAGATTATAGTATTACATATAGAACAAAGAATTCTTTTACGTGTATTGTTTTGGAGCAAGTAGTGAATGTACACAATGGTGAGTGCCAATTAACAGAAAGTCGAAAACCTAAATTCTAAGTTAGTTTGTAAAGATCATCAGTGTTTATCAGTAAACTCAGAGAAGTTCACAAATAGTTTAAGAAGTCGAGTGGATATTATTCAACTTCACATTCAGAATGTTATCACTGATATTTGCAACTTTCCGAGTAACTTCTGTAAATTATTATCATAAAAATAAATTTATGAATAAGTATATTTTATAAGACTGTTAATCAATATTGACTGATGGATTGTTTATGACCACATAATGATTGTTTAGCTAAAAAACCTTCATACTTTCCCCGTATCACTCTTGAAATGAATCTAGACAACACAACATTTATTGATGATTTTGAATTGACCAAATCTGTACTGCAAACTACTAAAATCCCATACGTCAAGTTTAAATCTTGGTCACCAGACAAAGTGATTAGACATCTAGGTGCGCCTTTTTGAAGTTTTGTGGTTGAGAGTAGTCAGACCTAAGTTTTGTTACTTCTGAGACTCAATAACCATCTTGAAAGCATTTACCTCTCTAAACTAAGTGAAACAGTAGGTCAAATCATTTATCCAATCATTCACACTACAAACTTGATCATTGGGAGTGGATCAACATGTAAGACTAGACAATATAAAGTTGACCAATTAAAGTGAATATCTGAATCTTAGAGGATAACTGATTTTTAATTGTGACATCAAGTAGCGGGGTTTCGGACCAACGGCTATTATCAGTCTCTCAAATGTTTTCGATATTTTTTTTAGTGGCCATCTGCCAACATAAAACCATGACTCCTGAACGATTAATTTTAAGCAACTACTATGTATTATGTAACTGCTTTCGTCTATCAACGTTTAAAAGCTTTTCTGGTGAAGTTTACTATGAAATTTGTTAACAGTTTATTCGCAACTTCAACATGTTTTGAATAATAACAGAACCACCAGATGTAGTCACTACCTAGTACAATATATAATATATAATCCGTATTTTCACAATAGTTATAACTAGTATTAATAAAGAACAGAACAGGATCCTATGGTAATTTACTGAACTTTGCGTATAGCATTGAAAAGCCAAAGTTTTATCGATTCTTTAAAAGTGAACAGAATGTTGCCTGATAAATTTTAAAATTATAACAGCTAAATGCATTAAACAAACGAAAGGCTGTTCAGAGAATAGAATGTTCGCTCGATGAAGTTATTTACTTAACCTAAATAATAGTATCTATAATTAACTTTGACATATCGTAGCCTATATTAAAATATAAAGGTGGAGATATACTACCAGAGGTGATCAAACGTTCAAGAATTGAGCTATTGATCGATTTTTGTTCAACTTAGATAGCTGTGGAGGGTGGAGCTCAGAGATCCATTCGAAAGCTTCACACTTCATCCAACCAATATAAATTCCTCTACAAAAATAAGTAAATTGAATTATATATATCAAGGTGACTCAAGTTGTCAGTTTATCTGTGATCTGTTGAATAAACAATTTAGATGTCTGCTGAATAAAAAGTTCTTCTCAGAGATCTTTGCAGTCGACTTTTCAAGATTTCTACTGCTAGTAGAAGCATCATCTTCTACATAACCTTTATAAGCTGTCACTTCCTGTTACTCTTGAAACTAATACGTAGTGTATATTCGATATTTAAAAACTTATAATCATTTGTGACAACTTTTTCTCAATTACGCAGCACCCACTTATTCTGTTATAGACTACTGTTCATAAAAATTAATCATAAATACAATTGTAAAAGGTTAAGAAAATGATTTTGTTGAACCATCTTCATCTTGTTCAGTAGTGTTATGAATTTTTTTCGTTGTTAATTATGTGAAAGCATGAAGTCGAGACTGTTTCTAGTTAATTAAATCTTTTAAGAAATAAATTATTTAATAAGTTGCGCAAGTCATTTCCATAACACTGATTATAAAGTAAATCAATGCGAAATCTAATGTCTAGGGTATTATGGAGGTTCTTGTTAATTTCCAAGTGGATTTTGTACTAATGACTTTTATAAGAAAGAAGATTCACTGTCAAAATTTTGTCTCTATTGTTTCTAACCTTAGTGGTTTCAGATATTGAATGATATACTATTTTCTATTTGTTCATCCCTTATCTTTTTCCCAATGGTGTTTCATACTTCTAAATTTCTCTATTTTACTATTTCTTTTTGAAGTATACCTTTCTAACTTCGTTTTCTATCATAAGCACATTCATTACCCCTAATCCTGTTCTGTATATCCTATTAATCTTCATTTAATATATTGATGTGGTAAGACAACTTGGGCCGATACACGTTTGCACCATATCCTGTATTATTTAAGACCGACAGACATAAAATGAAAATTCACTAAGAATCAGGAAGCACTGAGTGGTTATTTTAATCCCTCTTTCATGGCTATGAGGAACACGAACTGGAACCATGATTCATTTTCTCTATGGAGGTCTTATAGTCCAGTCTTCTAATCTAAACTCTATGTTAACTGACTGAAATAATATGTTTATTGTTATTTGCTATTATCACTTCTGAAGAGATTATTCTACAAGTTTCACCCTAC